GCTCTAGTGCTCGACATGAGAGATTGGGGCCAATGGTTCTAAAGGAAATAAAGTCGCGAGAAATTCAGGATGGAATTCGGGGTTTGGAGAGTTATAATGATGTTCCAGAAGAAGATGACTTAACTATGTTTGAATAAATGTAGATTGTTGTACCCTACTTAAAAAAAAATGACGCATCCCCTGAAAATAAGCCCTAGAGTGTCTTCCTGAGGAAAAATAAATATAAGACCCTGTCTTATTTTGGGGGAAACATGGTAGCTGCAGCACACTGCAATTCAACTCTGATGCTAAGCACCTGGAGTTAGTACAGATGCCACAAATTAAGAACTCAGTCTTCCACAAGACTGCACTCATGTCAGATGCCAGCCACAAGTGGGGTCCCTGGGCCCCCCACACTTTTGACTAAGTTGGAGAGTTCCCACAGCCCCACCAGATTTGGTAATTTGTTAGAATGACTCAGAGAACTCACTGCAAGTGCTGTACTTACTGCTGCAGTGTTATAGGAGAGGATGCCCACGAGGTGCAATCTAGGAGGAAGCACAAATCTTCCCTGCCCTCTTCTTGTGGCATTCAGGCATGTCACCCTCTCAGTACATCAGCTTGCCACCAAACAGGAAGCTCCACTGGGCTTCTGTGTCCAGAGATTTTTTATTAGAATTTCATAATGAAGGCATCTATTGTTGACCATGTGATTGAACCTAATTTCCAGACCCCCCTCCTCTCCCCTCCCTGAAGGTAGGATTGGCCCAAAGTTCCAACCCTCTAATCATGTGTTTGGTCTTTCTGGTGCCCAGCCCCCATCCTGAAGCTATCTAGGGCCTCACAGGGAGTCACCTCATTAGCATAAAAAGACACTCCATCACTCCGGAAATTCCAAGGGTTTTTGAAACTCTGTGCCAGGAACTGGAGGTCAAAGATCAGATATAGTCTTTATCAGACCACAGCCTTAAAAGACAAATCTGTGTGCAGGCAGGGCGTACCCCAGTGCACACCATACATCCTGCTGGAGTCTGGAAAGAGAGCCACAAGACTCACGGGAAGGGGCTGGAGAGTCCTGTTGGTGCAATGTACCTAAGGTTGGCGTTTGAGAGTCCCTGACAATATCCTAACAAACAAAGCTTCTCACCTTGAGAAAGAGTTGTAGAATTCCTGAAAGCACCCTCCCCTTTCTTCAAATTTCCATTTCGTTTTCCTTTTATTACTTTTTCCCCCTTTTTTTTTTTTTTTTTTTTTTTGGCTTTTCCTTCAATGCCGTAATTGGTTGGAACTGCCTGAAAAACTGTATGAGCCCATTAGGGCCTTAATCACCTGTTAAAGATGAGAATATCCAGCGAGGGACAATACCGTTTAATCCTTTGAGGGGAACTAATTGAAATTTCTCTTTTGAATCCATGCCCGAGTAGACGCAGAGAGGACGTCAAACACAGGAGACCTTGTCGCAGCACTAATAGGCTTAGGAATGAGTTAGGAGACAAAAGAGGCCGCCCAGTGAAGAGAAGGGGAAGTTCAAGTCCAGTTCAGTGCTTTCCTTTCCTCCTGAGCGGAGGCCTGTGTACTATGAACTTTTAGAATAAAAAGAGCTGTATAAATGCAGAGCAACATTATCATAATTACTTTTGGCATAGAAATATTTTTAGCTAATGTTATTTTAATAAGAGCTTCTGTCAAGGGGGAAAAGGCAAATCATATAAAGCAAAATTTTATTCTGATGTTCTCTGATTTAATGTTCCCCTGCCTGTTTTGCTGGATATTTCAGTCTGTTAAGCAGTCTGGTAGGGGAGCGTGCTTGTTTTCCATTCCCAGAGAAAATACTGGGCAGCTCTCTGTGCCAGGCATGGTGCTAAATAGTACAGGGAATGGGAGAAGATAATGGGGCAGTCTCCGTCCTTAAGTAACTGCCAGTTTAGAGGTATGGAGACATGGGCATCTGGGCAACTAAGAACACTAGGCAGAATGAGATTTAGGTGCAAGAAATTATGTGTGTGCAAAAAGCAGAGCTCAGATCATTCCAAGGGGAGATGTAGAAACGTTAATTCCTGAGAAGGTAGCACTTGAGCGAGTGCTAAGATATGTAGAATTACCATTGGGTTAGAAAGGAAGGGCATTCCATGCCTAGCAAAGAGCCTGAACAAAGGCGGGAAATCTTAAAAATGTGCATGAAGTAGAATTTGTAAATTTTATAAAATAATATATATAAAAATAATAATAATTTAAAATAACATATAAAAATAATTTCTCTAATATGAGATAGAGAAATTTGATAAAATTGTATTCTTTAAAGAGCCCTACAGAGAAATTTTCTGAGTTGGAAATGTTTTCTATTTACTTCGTTCCCCCCGCAAATAGCAGTGGCTCTAGACATGTGGTCCTTGAATGGGCAGCACCAGTATCAAGGGGGGCATGTTAGAAATGTACTTTTGCAGATCCCATTCCAGACCTACTATACTAGCATCTCTGGAGATTGCACCCAGAAAATCATTTTGACAAGCTCTTCAGGTGCTTCCAATGCGTGCTGAAGTTTGAGAATCACATGGCAGGGCTTAGCAATCATCTTCCCTCTTTTTGGTCAATTCCCCTTTTCCTGACCACATGGCTATTAAAATGCTCCCTTCTCTTCTTAAGTTTCCTGTCTCCACCATTCTTGCTTTCAGCAGATAACTTACTATGCAAAAGGGAAAAAGATGTTTTATCAGGAAGGAGCATTTTGAGCTTTCCTCACAATCTACAGCTAAATCTGCAGTAAGAGTCCTTCTTCATTTGTTTCATAGGAAGGATTGTGCCTTTTTCTCTACAAGTCTAAGGATCCTTCATAGCATCTTGCGTTCCTTCCTTCCTCAGAGCTTCCCCAAGTCTGCTGTACCTGCCACCTCATCTCGTCTCTCATTCATCTTTCTCTCTTCTTCCTTATGGTCCAATTCTCTCTGCTTGGGAATGCGATCCACCTCCACAGAAGCAAATAATAAAACAAATCAACAGCTACAAAAATCATCCCTTGACTCTATTTTCTTTAAAACCTGTCATTCTCTCTTCCTTTGGCTTTTGATTGTTATGCTCCTTGAACTCAGGAAAAGAAACCTGTTGTTAAAGTTCAATGGTAAATAGTTATCGTATCTAATCTTACTGGAGCTTCCTATAGTTTCTGATTGTTTTTTAATGCTTTCTGCATTTGAGTTTGGTCTTCCCCTGATTTTCAGACTGTTACTGACTCCTAGGTTTCTTACCTTTCTGAATCTTCTGCTATTTCTTAACCCACTTTTCTGGCTCTTGTTTCTCTGTTCTGTAATCTCTTTTCCATTGTTTTATGTGGTTCACGAGCCAACATTGGTAGCTTAGATGCACTAAACCATTGACTATATCTTGTTTATTACCAAATTTATAATTAAATTTCTAACTTTCATTCTGAAGTGAAACTCTGTTTAAGGTTGTCAGTTGAACATTTACATATTAAAAATTGGATGCTTTTATGCCCCCCTAAACTTGTTTTTTTTTAAATCTTAATTCATAGCATCTACATAATATGTCAAGCCAAAAGACTGGGAGTCATTCCAGTGCTTTTCTTTCTTCCAAATTCCATATTTATTTTTTCTCTAAAGCCTATAAATCCAACCTTATAAATGGTTATAAATGGTTTATTCAGTTGTATATATGGTAGTATGGTAGTTTAGTTTCACTGAACAACCCTCCTACTATTAAAAAATAAAAAGCCTATCCTATGTCCTAATTTTCAGAAAAAATAATTTTAAAATGATAAAAAGCCTAGAAAACACATACACATAGTATTATGATCGAAGATCCAGGAAAAAAAACAGAGACTTCACATATTGAACTCATTAAATACAGAATATAAGTATATTTAACATATTTAAAGACATAAGAGTGGATTTAAAAATATGATTAATAATCAAGAGATTATAAAATCACCAAAGTAGATTTCAAAACATAAAAAATTGAACTTCTATGAATTAAATATATAGTTGGAAATAAAAACCTCAGTAGAAGGGTTAAACAGGACATTAGACAGTGTTAAAGAGAGAATCAGAGAACTGGGAAGTAGTTCTAAGAAATTTTCAAGATTGAAGAGCAGACTAAAAGAAAGGAAAAAAAAAATATTTTAAAAGTGATTCAGAGCCCTGAAAGATATTCAGAGGTCTACTATATGCCTAACATAACTCCAAAAGGAGAGGACAGATATAATGGGGACTGTGCACTATTCCAAGAAGGAAATAGTTAGACTATTTAAGAATTAATTAAAAATTCTAATCTTTCAATTCAGAGAGTTTAAAAATCATAAGGTATAGAAATAAGAAACCTATTCCTAAAGATCATGATACTCTAAACACAAGACAAACACATAAGTAAGCTTAAGAGCAGTAAGAAGGAAGAGGTAAATTACCTCCAAAGGAAGAATTAGAGTGGCATGTGATGCTCAGTGAAAACATGCCCAGGTTCGAAGTCTAACGTGAAGCGTAGCTTTGCCTCTCTCACTCCCTCCTCCAGCTTCATTTGTCCTTCATCAATTCTTATCCAATTATTGTACACACCTCCAGCCTCCTACTCTTCCCCTTCACATTGCAATCCACTGCTGCTCACTGTCCTCCTCACACCCTCCAAAAGAACTCAGTAAAATGGAATCATGATGCTCTTCTGTTTAACATTTATGTTGGTTTTCTATCATAAACATAATTAGTTAGAAATTGTTTACTTTAGGAATCAAGGCTGTTTCCAAGCCATTTTAGTGGCTTTTTTTTCCCTCTTTCCCAGTCTTCTCCAGTCCCCTGCCTCCTGCTCCTGCCTCACTGATGCCTTACCAGACTCTAAATTCACAGGCTCTTTCACAGCCAACCTTTAAAGATGCTGTCCCTTCTACAGGATCTCTCCCCCAAGTGCTTTAATCTTGCATTTATTTAGATTTCCCTATTAGCCTCTGTATTAGCCTTCTTGGGCTGTCATAACAAAATAACACAGATTTGGTGGCTTAAAAAATGGATTTTTTTTCTCACGGTTCTCTTCAGAAGTCCAAAATCAAGGTTCGGATTCTGTCCTTGTCCTTGTATGGTCTTTTCTCTCTTTGCACATGCTCCTGGCGTCTGTTCCTCTTTCCTTAAGAACACCAGTCCTGTTGTATTAGAACTGTACCTTTATGACATCATTTAACCTTGATTTCCTCCTTAAAGGCCCCATCTCCAAATACAGTCACATTGGGAATTAGAGCTTTCAGATGAATTTGGCAGAGGGGGACACAAATTAGTCCATACCAGCCTCCCCCTTTTTGGGTCCCATTTTCTCCAAAATATCCTCTGAATCCTTTCCTGAAGACCCTTAACTCTGATCTCTCCTATAGGCTCACAGAACGTTTTCCATAACAAGGTGATTATACCCACAACAGTGAGTGATAGTACACATGCCTGAACCTCAGCAACCTGAAGCCCTTGAGCACAGGGACCATATTCCTTTCCAATCTGAATCCACAGAATCTAGAATGCCTGGCTTAAACAAGTACTCAATAAAAATAAAAGTAATAGATTTAAAACATTCAAGATCACAAAATATTAACTTGATCTATTACGGTGGTGTTTACAATGTAAAGTAGCACTATCCTTTGGGCAAAACGACTCTTATCAATATATGTTACCTTCTGTGAAAGTGATTAAAATTTACCATCCGGGTATGCACACCTACCACATCTCTGGTTCCCATGGTAATTGAACAACTTTCACATTATGTAGACACTCTTCTAAGCTCTAAGCGGATGGAGCGGCATGTGAAAGCAAAACTTCTATAGGCGGCATATTCATTGTTCCTCATGCATAATCCATGAAGATTATGAAAGATTTTCCCCCTTATGATGGTATAGCCATAGGTGTAGTTACAGTGGCTGCCTTTCAGTATATAATTGCCTGTAACATCCTTCAAGTCAACTTTCCAAAGTAGCTTTTCTTCCTGCATATGTCCTCCCCCAGTCATGTGATCATTTATTTTTTTCCCCATTGTTATGAGTGCAGATCAAGGTGAAGAAAATTTGGAGGTCACTGGTACATAGTTTCTTCAGGGGATTCTATAAAGACGAAATGTCACTTTTGCAGCAGAGTTTGGTGAGTTCTACTAGAAAAGATTCTTTTATATGTAGAGAGGTGGAGAAGACTATCTGTAACTAACAGAAACCTCCCCTCATTTCCATTGTTACTATGACAAATATGAAATTAAAGAAAGGTTACAATTGTCTGTTTTAAAATGGTTTTTTTTTATTATTATTCTTACTCAGGTACGATGAGGCCAACAGATGAGAGGACAACTGCTCTTGAAAAGATAGTTTATTACTCACAGTTCCCAAGAGGAGGGGACATGCCACACACACAGGGTCACATGGAGAATCACCAGTTTGGGTCAGGAGGCAGAAGGAATAATGAGAAAACATGGGAAACAGCCTTTTTCATGATTTCTATGGGAAGAGAAGTGGTCACGGTAGATTAAACAGTTTTAGGATTTGCTAGTTTGATAATTTCACTGGGCTCTGGGGCACAGGGCTGGGTCCCTGGTTGTCTGACACAAGGCTCTGAGGTGATTAGGGAAGGGCATAGTGGTCCTGAGCGTGAGAGCCTGGTAGAGGAAGTGGTGGTGGATATGGGCTGTGGATTGGTTGGTTTTCATCCGAAAGGCAGATGAGTCACTTACTATCCCTAGGAATTGGCTAGTTCTGGGAAGGGCAGCCTCTCTAGGGTCTGCAAGGTCCCAGATGCCAAGGCACCAGAATGGAAATACATGCTTAATACATAACTCATTATACTCAAATGCACATTCTCTTAGGAAGCTCCCAATCTTTGTCAGAGAGAAAATGAAAGATCAAAGAAATTGGCAGAATGAGGCATGGGAGGGTAGATGATAAGCGAAATATCCCTTGTATAAAAAGTTCTAAGAGTCTCCGTTTTCAAAATGTGTTAGTAAAGCAGTCCCACGTGCAGAAAAACTCAGTGGATATATGTACTATAGACAGCAAACCCCAGTGACCCCAGCTGATGTTGTGTAAGTCAGGGTGTTGTTTCCTGAGAGTGGTCTCATAATTTTACTAGACAATGGCTGTGCTAATACTTTGCAGCTTTTGCTTCCTCTAAACATGAAGATTAGAAACCCCTGGATTTTTTTTTTATTTTTGTTTTGTTTTATTTTGTTTAATTAAAAGATAAATGGAAACAACCAAAAGTTAATGTCCTATTGGGAGTTTAGCAAAATAATGAATGAGAAGCCTACCGTGGACTTATGACTGGGCTGGACAGGGGTTATTTTCACATCTCCATTCCATGTGGTCCTTTCTGGGCACATTTTCTCTCTGCTGTATGTCCCTTTGGCACCCTGGGAAGGAAATACTTATCTGATTCTTTCTGCACACTCACCACTGCCAAGAAAATACATTACACACCCTGCCTTGCATGTGCTGCCTTGAATTATCTTCCTGTTTTACCACTTGCTGGAAAAACTGCATCTCAGCAGTGCCCCAAGTCCCTTGGGAAAGACATCCATCAGCACAGACCTGTTTTTCCCCTTAGGTGTCTGTCCATTTTGGTGCTTCTTATTAAGCTCCATAGGTTCCTATTCATCAAAATTATGCCAAGGAAGCCTTGAATTCTTTCTGAGGCACAGATTCAGCAGAATGCCACGGAAGAGCAGACACACACAGAGGGAAGGCATTGAAAGAATGTGCAAATGAGGCTTCCTATTTTTATTCAAAAAGGACCCAAACATGCAAAGGCCTGGATAGGAGTTTTAAACAAAACCCGTTTCTGACTTATTAAAAGCTCCATGCCTACCCTCCCCTGTCATTACCTACCCAAGCAAGCAGAGAGGTCGGCGATCAAGAAATAAGGTTAGAAATATCCTAGGGGGTGATCATTCAGCAGGGAAGGATGTGTGGATTTTTTGGATATCTATCTTTCTATCTCTATAGCATTCCTAATGTGTTTGAAATAAACGTGAATGGAAGAATGTCACTTGTCATGTGAAGGAATATTAGAAGAAAAGGATGCTTGAGATGGGAACAGTGGCATGAATCCGCCTTCGAAATCACTTTGAATTTGAATGTATGTCCCCTGTAATAGATTACCTAGGAATTGAACTGTGATTAGGTTGGAAAGATGTTAATGATTATACTATTTTTAGAAGAAATAATTACCTGGGGATGAGGACATGTAACTGTAACTCCACAGTGGCTGGGGGTGGGGGGGTGGGGGGAGTATGGTCATTGATGGAAAGCCAGAAGACAGAATACTTCTCCTGAAAAGAGAAGTAATAAATATATTAATATTGTACTTGGCCTATTAAAAACAGGGGCATGGAGTCCCCTTCTAGGAGCTGTATTTGTGCATGAGCAAGTCTAATCTCTGCAGAATCTGCTGGCCTTGATACGAGGCTCAACTGAGGGAAAGAAGGCAAAGGGTTGACTGCCTAGGACAGGCAAGCTTAATGCAGACGGTCATCACACAGAAGTTCAAAAATCACTGGGGTTAGTGGTTTGCACAAAGCATGGATTTTGCCTGAAGTGGAAAAGTGGCATCAGACCACAGACCAGAGGGCCTATGGCTCTCCAGGAAATACAGGAGAGAAAGAGAGAGATTTTAGCAAAAGAAAAGTGGGCATTATCCTAGTTCTCTTTTTGGGGGCCGAGTTTGAAGATCACTTTCTGTTCCTAATACCCTCTTTGTCCATGGAATTTTACCTTGATAAATGAGGTGACAAGGATTGGCTGTAGTGTCCAGGCTTCCCTTTAAACGACTAGATAAGAGAAGGATAGAGAATACACCCGAAATCCATGCTACTGGTTAGTAGCTCCCCAGAGAGATGGGCTGGCACAAAAGAGAAGCAAATCTATCAGGATTTTCCCCCCTACATCTTGATGTAGCCTGGTTTTCTGGAATCTGGTTTCCGACTGTGCAGGCTTGAGATTATACTCTCTCCATTATGTTCTTATATGTAGCATTGGATATTGGCATCACATGAAACTAGTTCCAGCCTCCAGAGAGTCACTGAAGTTAGCCTCTGGCTGCATCCACCTGATTTTCCTCAGTTCAGCCACGGCCTATGCTTCTGGGAAATACATATGCTGGAATTATTTAGGTTACTCAGAAGTGAACATAGTATTTGCAAATAAAGGGTTATGAGATAAAATTTGAGTCAAACAGGAAAAGATTGGGAGAGACTGGTGGATTACACTTACCCAGGCTTAAAGGATTAATGTTAGAATGTGCACCTGCACCCTCCTTACCCAGAACATAGTCTGTGCTCCAAGATTATTTTGCTCATTTGTGAAGATAGTTGTGCATTTGAAATTCCCAAAGCTGCATTGTATTGCATTAGATAAAAATGAGTGAGAAAAAAAAAAAGTAAAGCTATTGACAGAAATGAGTAAATAGCTAGGGAAATGGTCTCTGGGCATAAACTTCCCTCTTAATTCTTTCAATTTATGCTAGTGTGAGGTTACCTAAGAAGAATGACACCCAGAACCTACCTGAGGGGGTCCTTGGGCGGAAAGGTGCTAGCAGATCCATGACCCAATTCAGGTGTGAATTTGAATTTCCCCCTCATCTGACTCCTGGCTAACATCATGGAATACTCAATAAGTGTGTTGCAATTAGTGCTTTTCAAAATAATGCATATATGGACATAATCTTGGCTCTTTCTTTGGGTAAAGTTGGCAAATTTCTTTCTATACCTAATGTCTCTTTGTTTATAAAATTTTATCTTGATAAAGAAGGCAACCTTCTATATTCCACGTAGAAACAAACTTTGCTGTGTGAGAACTGGAGATCACTCTGTCTTCTGGCAGTTCCCTCTACTTCCAACAAATGGCCTCTGCTTTGAACAGTTTATTCCAGGATCAGCCCTTTGAATTGACTGAAAGTCACGAAGTTTGCTGATCTTACTATGTAACTGTCTGCATGAACCTGCCTTCATAAACCTCCACTTTCTCATCTCTTGGATGCGATGACTTAGGGTCTGAATTATCCGAAAGTTTTCTGCCAGTTCTAAAATTATACTATATTTCTATGACCTCTAATTGCAATTGTTTTCCATGTTCGATATTTTCTCAGAGGCAAAGTGCCAGAAATTAAAAAGTAATCGTAGGACACTTACT